GGGGCACACTTGGCAGACTTATTGCGTCCTACCGCTCAACATGATGTGTGGACACGTGGACGCCCCACCTCGCTCCCGCGAATTGAAATCGCTCTGTCAAGGCCTTGTCACCCTCTGTTCCTGTCCGCTGCTATTCGTCTCGCCTTCCTGACACTCACTCTTGCCAAACACCCACCCCCCTCCCCGAAAAAGGAGTAGGGAATGCGCATTATTTTACTTTTGAGCAGTTCTTGATCCGGCGACGCCCCGCTCACAGTTTCGTGTTCCTGCTGCCTCACCAATGCCGGATAGCTGTAACGCACCCAAGAAAACAATTTTAGCATTAACCTGCTCTAGGATGTAGGGACCAACGGGCTGTGCTGGGTCGGGCGGTGGCCAGTGGGCCGGGGTCTTGAGCATCGCTCCTCGCAGACTCCGACTGCCTGCTCTTCCACTCGGAAGGAATCATCAATCATCACAGCATGTCTCTCTCTCTCTCCCTCTTCCTTTCTCCCCCCCCCTCTCTCTCCCCCCTTTTGCTCCCGGAGAGCGCCCACTAATCAAACTGCGGACCCTACACAACATCTGCTGCATCACCCGGTCCTCAGAAAACAGACTGGGCAGTGCCAATACAGAGCCCCACCCCCCAAACCCGCACCCCTCATCATCCCCTTCCCTCTTACCAACTTCTAGAGCGCTGACGACGGCTGCGTGCGGTAACCAAACAGAAGCCCGGGAAGCCTGTGCGCCGGACCGAATAGGGCTCCGAGCTTCGCTGCCGCCGGCTGTGCCCAAAGCAGAGGTCCGGTTCCAAAACGGCACAAGTCGTGTATCATATCATCACGTGTACCGTGACCATACCTGCGCTCGAACGTTCTCGAATACACGGCGCCGCACGACAGCTTCCGACACTCATAATCGACCTGGCCGTACTCATTTTCCCCCTCTCGCTTTTGAAGAGCCCGCGCTGTACCTTTACCCCACGGAGCGCGCTCCTGGCGTGGGTGCGTTAGTACAAGCAGTGTTACGCGGTCGTTACTGAGCCCGCGACTGTTCCCTGCTTTCTGTGAGCTGACATTTTGTTTGTTTGTTTGTTTGTTTGTTTGTTTGTTTGTTTGTTTGTTTGTCTGTTTGTTTGTTTGTTTGTTTGTTTGTTTGTTTGTTTGTTTGTGAGTGTGTGTGTGCGCGTGTGTGCGTGTGTCCTGGAAGGCAGAGGTGAGGGCGGCAAAGCAAAAGGCGCCCTTGTTTGTTACCATGGCGACCGCATCAGCTCATCATGATCGTTTCATGAGGAGGAGGCGTGTCCTGCGGCTGCCTGCCACCGGCACCTACCCCGCGCGCCCGCCCCTTTACGCTGGTCCATCGCCCACCACGCCCGCCTGCCGAGGCCCTTTGAGCTGAACGTGGTGATTTCCAGTCAATTGGGCTTCACTAGGCTCTGCTGCTGTGTGGCGCGGCTGTGCGGGGTGAGGCCCGGAGGCCCGGGGCTGAGCGACAAAAAATTGCACCTACCTGCCGTACACCTGCCGTCAGTTTCTTGCTCAGCTGTGCACGTCTCTTTTTTTTCAAATTTAAAATATTGTGGTATTGGATTCCGGTGGCCCGTGCGGCAATCATTGGAAGAGGCATTTTT